GTTGTGCTTATGTAATAACGTACAAAAAATAACAAGAAGAAAAAAATCTATGATCATAAGAGTTTGCACGATAACCTAAACTATGAGGCAAATTTTATGTAGTTAAACGATTTGAATTACTGTATTAAAATCTGCTTACTTTTGATATTTCTTAAATTTATAGTATGTTTATTTTTTGAAATTATAGTGATTCCATCTTTTTAGTATTCATCTTTCAGAATTACGTCGTAAATTATGTGATATTTAAATTTCTATTAACAAAATGGCCCGAAGGGTTATTTTGCTGACAAAGAATCTCAATAGATAAGAATAATTAATGACAGTATTGATAGATAAAATTAGTAGAATATAGGATGGATGGTTAATTAGAAATAAAAAAAAATAAAATAACATGTATGAAGAAAAGATTGAAGTAATAAAAGTTAAATGTATGTACTTAAATAAACCCGAGTACTGCTAATAAAAGATGAGACATCGGGTTTCAAGTTTATCATTTAATATAAGTCACTCTCATTATAGTGAATTTTCGATATAGGTAAAGACTAATTAAAATCTTGATATAGTGAAGAGTCATTCTATATAAAATTCTCTTATATAGTGAATTTACTAATAAAACTCTTTGATATAGTAAAATTTTCATTAATGGAACTGATCACTTCACTATAATGAGAGTGATTATATTTATCAGATTAAAATCCTTTATGAAATTGCAAAGAACAGTAACACAGTAAAAACTGATTTGTAGCATATTTAATAAAGGGCATGATTTAGAACTCTAAAAAGTAGAAAAAATATATTAGTGAAGGGTCAAAAAAAAAAAAAAAAAAAATTGAATGAATGAAATTTTAATACTTATCTTGAGCTTGAGTATTTTCACTTTCGAAGGGATATTAATTATAGCGCGCTAATTCGACCTTATTAAAAAAAAGTACCGAATGATCACAAATTATTATTTCACTTCACAGACAACTTAGTTCATAGACAACTTACAAAATCGATCTAAATAAATCGCAATAAACGCAATTTGAATCTTAAGGCAATCTCTGTTGATAGCTAATTTATGTATTCTCACTTTATTTCATGATATCACGAACCTCAGAGTAACGCGAATATCCAAATCCGTCAGCACGAATATCAAATATTCGGGGTTGAACCGGTTTTAAATTCAGATGCAACAAACCGGTTCCAACCTCTAATAAGGAAACCTTAAAATTGACTGATATCAATATCGAAACGTACTTACGTACATACGTCTTCACAATTTGTAGCAAATCGAAATGGCATACGCAGGAGATTGGTGCCTCATTGAAAGCGATCCAGGTAATTTGAGTTAAAACCAAGTTCATTAATATGATGCAATAAATCAATAACCTTAATGATTTGACTTACAGGCGTTTTCACCGAATTAATTAAGAGATTTAATGTTAGAGGTATACAAGTCGAAGAAGTATGGAGTTTAGACGCACAGACATTGGAAGAATTAAAGCATGTGTTTCAAGCTTGGCAGTTTTACAAGTTGACATTCTAATGAATTAAAGCCATTTCGACTAATATATCATCAAATTAAATCGCATTAAGACCTGTATATGGTTTAATTTTTCTTTTCAAATGGCAAGGCAATAATGACAGTTCTGGAGCACACCCGGATGCAGATTTAAGCATTGATGATAGTGTTTTTTTTGCAAAACAAGCAAGTAGATTTTCATTCCACCGTTTATTTCTTTCATTCGATTTTTTTTTTTTTTTAATGTTTAATGTTCTTCGACAGGTAGTTAATAATGCATGTGCTACTCAAGCGATCTTATCCATCTTGCTTAATTGTCCATCGATTGATCTGGGTCCAGATTTACAAGAGTTCAAAGAGTTTACAAGAGAATTTAATCCATACGTATGTTAATATTAATTTTGGTCCACAGTTATATTGTTGAATGCGTTCATGATTAAGATCACTCTTATCAATCATTCCAAATACTATATATAGGACAAAGGTTTGGCAATGACCAACAGTGAAATTCTTCGTTCCGTCCATAACAGCTTTTCTCGATCTGATCCATTCATTATGGATTCATCTGAGTCATCCTCGTCCGAAAAAGAAGATATTTTTCACTTTATTTCATATGTTCCTATACATGGTGCTCTTTATGAGTTAGATGGTCTTAGTAATGGTCCTGTAAATCTAGGTAAAATAAAGTTTTCAATGAGCATATGTATTTAAAATTTCTTTAATCTCGTCTTATTTTAATTAACAGGTCCATGTACCGATGATGACTGGCTGGAAAAAGTTCGTCCAGTAATACAAGAACGTATGGCACGTTATGCTTCAGCTGAGATTCGATTTAATTTATTGGCTCTTATCAAAAATCGGGAAGATGTGTATAAAATGCGTCTTGAAACTGATATAAGTTTCGAAGAAAGAGAGGAATTATTACACAAGATTGAATTAGAAAATATCAAGTTTAAAAGATATGAGGTAAAGTTGATTATACTAATGATCCATTATTAATTTCTTTATATACTTATACATTACAAACGTTTTTAAAATGATAGCGTGAAAACTCTTTACGTAAACATAACTTTATTCCATTTATATACAACATTATTCGAATCTTAGCAGAGCGTGGTGAATTGGATGCACGTATAGAACATGCTAAAAAAGAGATGACCAAGAGGAAAAAGGAACGTGCAGAGAAGAAAAAAAATGCCGAGGCTTCAGGCAGTAAGAATTAATCCGTTGTATATCAACGCATTTATTCAAATATTCAATGAAATATATTAGAATTCGCTTTTTGGGTCAAATTAATTGGACTTATGAATTAAACATGATATATATATAAATGGCTCTCATCATAGTGAAGTTGTCGGGTAGAGAATAAAAAATTATAGCTTATATTAAGTGAATGCATGTATTTTACTATATCAAGTTAAAGAGACTGTAATTTAAAGTTCTTTATTAAATCTTCATTGGGTGTTCATTATAACGAGAGTGACAAGTATCATAAGACTTTTTGTTATTAGGGACGATGTATTAAATCTATATATTGAATTTGTGATAGGTTTAAAGGTTTTTAACACTGCTAATATCTTTATTAAAGTCAACATGTTGCTTATTTATAAAAAAAAAAAAAAAAAAACTGTTTAAAGTTTCAAGCAATTCTAAAAGACATGTATAGACACTTATTATTTGATAAATTATTTTTTCCCTCGATCTTTAATTGCTAATCCAAGGATGACACCATCTTCAATATTATAGTATGCCAATGATACCTGATTTTTCATTACGGCGCCTCCTATTGTGAGTTTTTGCTTTCCTGCTGGGAAATTCAATCTTGCAAAAATCTTATCTTTTACAGCGGAAACCAGCGTTGTGACCGATAAACTGTCCAAGACAATGATTTGCCCTTGACAATTCCATTCTGGTTTTTCAGATATTATTGGACACTGAATTTGTATATTTACTAATCCCTACAAAAATAATTAGATAAAATGATATAAATAAAAAAATAATTACAGCAAAATGAACAATAAATAATAACATTTTAACTGATTAACCAACCTGATGAGAAGCTATCCATTCTTCCTCTGATACAAGGGCTCCCATAGAGGAAGCATTATCTAATTTTTGTCGTTTTGGTAGGATGCCCATGTCTACTTCGTCTTCTATTGTTTGACATGTGTTAATAAGGATAAATTACTAGAATAGACAGCACAAACGATACTGATAAATTACATACCTGGTAAAGATTGGCGATGAAGCTGGGGAATGGGCGGAATAGGTGGGCGGACTTGAGAGGGTGGTTGAGAAGACATAGTAACAGGCGCGATTGGTGTAATAAAACCTGGCAACTGATGTGCAAATGGCGCAGAAGACCCAACATAACCAGGATACGCGACTGGTAGAGGTCCTTGCGGTATTGGAACATTTTGTGTTGTATGAGATGGATAACTAGCGTACATAGGTTGTTGAGCTGAAGGCATATGTTGTTGTAACCCTTGTTGGTGCATATGCTGCATTTGATGCTGATGTGAATGATCCTGTAATTGTGGTATCCTTGGACCGATTTTAGAGTCGCTATCGCTAATCAATTGTATAAAAAAATAGTATCACTATAATCGTAATTTTTTATAAAGTTTTGTACAATCCAAAACGTGTAATATTTTATATCTACCTTGTCAAGCCTTTGCTTCGATGAATTGCAGCAATTTGTTCATCGATTGAAACACCGGCCGCTGCTCGTTGAGTTGCCATATTTATAGACGCTGTATGACCATCCCATACAACTTTTTCCTTTTCAATTCGTTTTTTCTTTTCTTCCTCTTCTCCAATCTAGCAATAACAATAGAGACAAATGAACAAGCATTCCAATATGTATTTGAAAATTAATTAAAAATATAATAAACTTACTTTTCGACCGATTTCAGTCTCCTCATTTCCAAAAATATCGGAACGATAACCGGAAAATGTCTTGAGAATTTTGGCAACATCCGTTCCTATAATGGCGTAAAATAATTTCAATCAAGATTACAAAGTAGTTATAAAATTATATCTGAAATGAAAGCCAAAAAAAGAACCTTCTTGTAACAAGTTTGATTCTTTCTTCTTTGCATCTGCCGCCATCTTTTGTTCTTTCCATTTAGGATCTAACAATTCTATACGGACATGATTTGCCATTTCGTCCACAGGAATTGCTTGTTTACATCTTGGACATATGGATGTTTGTCTCTCAGTGGTGGTTTTAGGTGCATAAGCTAATGGAATTTAATTATATAATAAGTTAACAATTACATTAATAATGATTATAAACGTATTAAGTTTGACCATTTACTACCTTTGGGAGTATAATCTTTAACAATTTTCATAGGGGCGGACGTATCTGGAGGTTTGATTTCATGTACAACAGGAGCCGACTCTTGATCCTGTTCATCATCATCCGCTGCTGCTTGCTCATCCTCATCGTCTTCCATATCAACATCCTCGTCCATCTTTTAAAACAAGAAAAAAAAATTTTTTTAAAAGTTGCACACATATATATCTACAGTTACGAAAATACGAACCTCCATATCAATCTCGGCAGCTTTATCTTCATGAGTTTCAACAATATTGACTGATGCCATCTTCTTTTGGGCAAGAGTCATGTTTTCCAGTTCAATGATACTCATAGGTGGAGGGAGATCAATTGTTTCGTCAGCTTCAGTAAATTCGACAGTTTCCACAATAACAAAATCATGCCAATCAATTGATGCATATGCAACTAAACAAATCATATTAGTAAACTGGCGATTACATGCAATTCTATACAAAATTTATAAAATATATATACTTCTCTCTTGATCTTCTTTTTCTTCCGCTTTTTTTCTTTCTTCTTCTTGATATGCAGCGTATTCAACTCGTTGCATCACACGTTCCAATATCTGATACTTATTATCGACGTTAAATTTTAATTTGTCATTCAAATTTTTTTGCGGAACCAACACCTTAGTATACTGTTCGACCAATTTCGTGAAATAATTACATAAGCTATGATTCGGCCTTAGAAAATCAAATTGATAATTGCGTTGTTCACGTTGCGACAGAGCTGTCATAAATTTTCGCCCATTACGCGCCACGAATTGAGCAGTTAATTTCAGAATGTCACTAAAAAAAAAAAAGAAAAAAATTGTAGAATCTCATGTTATAAAGCACTATTCGATCAAAAATAAATCCGTATATAAATATTTGATCTTACAGATCCTGTGCAGATATAGAAGGCATATCATTCATAAATTCAAAAGAAGGTGGTTCCTTTGGTGGAGCTCTTGGTAGGAAACCCTCCTCTTTAATTTCAACTTTAAGCTCTTTTGGTTCAGCCTTTTTAGAAACTATAGTCAATATACGAAGAATCATGAGTTATATGAAATAAAAAGGAAGAGTAAGTATCGAATAGGTATCAAATAAGCTACGAATACCTTTGCCGCCTTTGGTCTCTGCGATTTTGTATTGATAATAAGCGTGATACGGATCGTTTGGATTCAAAAAGCTGAATTTGGCATTATGTTTTTCATTTTCACGAATGCGTTCTTCAAATTGTACACCATTTCTTGCAACGAATATGGCAGTCTTATCAACAATATCTATAGGTGTTCAACATTAAGGATAAAAAAAAGATCTTTTGAGCAAAAAAAAAAAAGATCAGAGAAAGAAAGTCCGCAAAAAGCCTATGGTTCTTAATTGAACTTCAAATCTCTACTTGCATTTGGTCAGTTTTACTAAAATGTAACTGAGGGCAGAAAAGGATACTCCTTATATCTGGTGGAGGATAAATGATCCCCACGAGAGGTCTGGTGTCTTCTTCATTGTTTATAGATGCACTGTTTTCAGCTTCTACATATGAAAACGTATCGACTTCTGGAAGACTTTCAGGTAATGCTACAGCAAGCATTTTTGAAGTTTTGATCTCTTTGAGAAAGATCGGTCCGTCACAAAAAAATTTATTTTATCTGATTGGACAAATTTATAATAAAATTTATGCTCTGATTGGTTAATTTTGTATCGATTCTAGGAACTGTATTAGAAATTCATTTTTCCGACAACCACGACAATGTCAAGTTAGCCCGCATTAGGTTAGGTTAGTGTTAATTCTGGCCAATTTGAGAAAATGGTTGTCGGGAAAATGATAGAGACCCAAAATTCTCTTTTGATTTGCTTATATGCTGTATTATAATCGTTGGCTAAAATTTTATTTAAGCCTCAAATATATAAATAAAAATTTTTTTGATAATAGTCAATCTTTTTTATAATTAATGATTTTATTACTTGAGATAAATTATTTACTTAATTTAAAAAACAATAAGATTTGTTAGGGTTAGGGTTAGAAATTAGAGAATTATTGTTTTTTTTATATAATATATTATAGAGCCAGTGTTTAAAATTCAGATCAAAAAACTACATGCACAATGTGCATGTACTGTACAAATTCTGATGCACATATGAAAAATTTGATGCACACATGTGCACATAAAAAAAAAATATTGATGCACAGATATTTTTATAAATTAACATGATTGAATAATTAGTATAATATCAAATATATAAAAGTATAAACTTCATATAAGAAATTTGATAAAGTAATTATGAAACTATTTAATATTTGAGCATTTTATTTCATTAGTTTGCTTATTTAAAATCAGCCTCTCATTTTCACAACTTTAAACCATTAAATTCAGAAAGTTAACTTGTAGGTTGCTAATAAATATTATAATAAAGTCTATTTACAAGTATTTAATTTATTTTATTCATATTATAAAGATTGTTTATTAGTCTATATGTTTAAATCAATAATTCCAAATACATAAATATTTATTCAAAATTTTTTAATTAAGTTATATATTTTATCAATTCATTTAATTTGCATTTTTTTGATAAGATAAATACTATAGTAGTTATTATATTTATTTTAGCTATTAGTAACAAATGCTATCTTTTTTTTTGTGTTGATAAATAACCAAGAAAAGACATGATAGATTAATAATGGTTAGTGATAGCAAAATTTAGTAGAAACTAAAAGATTGTTTATTAATCAATTAATTTCATTCATATT